TGTTCTAGTTTGAACAGGAGATGAAGTAGATGAAGGAGCAATATGTTTAGCGCGAGCAGGAGAATTGAGATTCCTGATAGACATAGGAGTGGCAAGAATAAGAGAATGGGAAGAAGTTGCTGGCCGTTCTAGCAGGTGGAAGACACGGTTAACGTTAGAAGCGAATAGCCTGCGCTTTACAGATGGCCAAAATTGTTTAAAAAGAGGATGAACGGCAGAAGTAGGGTTAAAAGGGGCTAATGAGAAGCCGGTTGCCAAAAGAGTATTACGGGCATCAATGGCTTGTACCTCTATTTTATTAATAGTATGGAAACTGTCAATCAGGCTTTTGGAAAAGCAAGGAGGAACCATCCACATTTAGCAAAAGCCAAGCTGACGAGCAAAAAATTGGGGAGCATATATCTCGACCACAGCCTTGGCATTTGTTCCAGTTAGGATATCATGGAATAATTCTATCCCAAGCAAAAATTGGACCCAAATGGGCAAAAAAGTACTCACGTCATCCATGGACAGAGGTTGCACATAATTTGGAATTGAATGAGCAGGAAAAGGAAAAAAGGAAGGGATTGAATCCAAATTATAAAAGAATGAAAAAAGTTCCTATTAGACCTATTTACAGGGCTCAATTGGTTGATGGCTAGCCCGTAACAGCTAGCAGGTCGAAGATGAGTAGATGGAGCACTGAGTTGTGAAAAGTATGCTCTCAACCACAATTGAGCGAGCCAAAGAGGCCCACTACCAGTGGGAGATGCACAATTCTTCAATTGAAATTGGAGGGAGGTTGCAAAAAATAATGAACAAAGATTCAAAGGCCTGCAATGCGCTATGGGTAGATAACTCATAGAAGGTTTCATGCTGAGCACACAAATGACGTATTTACAAAGCCAAACCTGAAGAAAGGCCACCCGCTCAGCATGGGAAGGTTCAGAACTAGAATTATTATAAAGTCCTTGCATGCTTNAGTGGGAGATGCACAATTCTTCAATTGAAATTGGAGGGAGGTTACAAAAAATAATGAACAAAGATTCAAAGGCCTGCAATGCGCTATGGGTAGATAACTCATAGAAGGTTTCATGCTGAGCACACAAATGACGTATTTACAAAGCCAAACCTGAAGAAAGGCCACACGCTCAGCATGGGAATGTTCAGCGCTAGAATTATTATAAAGTCCTTGCATCCCCGAATAGGACTCAGTAAGTTTTTTGTCAAATTTTGGGGCAATGTCGGTAACCAAAATGCCAGGGAAAATGGTATCACCCAAGAGCAGAAGGTTTACTAGGGCTCCAACGTCCCTCAGGGTAATAGATATTGGGCCAAGGAGGAAAACAAAAATATTGTACTTAGACAACCAAAAACTCAGTGCAATGGAAAAAAGCATCGGATCATAAATTGGGGGATGAAGAGCGATTTCTAATAAATCAGAAATCCTAGCACGATAAAAAATCGCCTTGGTAGGGCCATGATTTGCCATACGTGCATGCCACCTATGAAAAATAGTATCAATTTTGGGCCAAGTGCGAATACCTTTCTCGCGTATTGACCTCAACGGTAGAGAGTTCAGAAAATGAGGTCTGAGTATATGGGAATAGCTAACCTACTGCCGCTTGCCCAACTGATTCAGCATCATTAAATGACGGGCCTAAGTAAAATTCCTGAAGGTCAGTGTTAACTGGTGAAAGAAAAACTGAATTGATAAATGGCCTGGTGATGAGGTTTTGGAAATTTTCGAAGCTAAGGGAGTTGTCGGAAGGGCTTTCTGGAGTCGCCATTTACTGCAAAGTACAATTTTCGTAAGGGATTGTGAGAAGCGTAGTAGAGAAGCAAGAAGATGAATGGTGATTGCTATAGAGGAAGATAAGCGCGAGATGCAAAGACGTGAGTATAATGGCGAGATGAAATGGCGTGTCCCTTGGTTTATAGGGGTTACGTGGTGTTACAATTTTAGAGATGTAGATTGTTACCGCCAAAGGAAAATAATGATTGGAATTATCCACCATTTTCAAAGAATTCAAGCATTGTCAAAAAATACAAAGGAAGAATATGACATAAGATTAATATTTGATATGACATATTGGGGGTAATTGTTGACATACAAAAATGAGGCCCAAATAGATTGCCCAATTAAATAGAACCCAGTTAGGGAATTTGAGGAATGAGCCCAAATGAGACTATTGTAAAACGTAGTGGAGGCCTATAAACAGATGACTATAATCGCTCAAGTCTGCAGGACGCCCAAGATCTGAGCGAATGAAGTACCTTATTGTCGCTCAGATCTACGGTCTCATTCTCGCCCAAGCCTTCGAGACGCCCAAGATGTGAGCGAACATAACGTCCTGTTGTTATTTAAAGCGGCGGTTATTGAAGCAGTTATTGAGCAATCTTATCACATTCCACGATCCAAGAATCTCGGTTGCAAGTAGTTAAAAGAGGAGAGTAGTGGCAGCAGTTTAAAAACGGCAGTTCCTTGACACGTCGGCCATTATGAAACAAGTGGGTAGTTATAAAGCGACAAACAGTTTCCAAACGGTTTTACAAGGAAAACTGGCGAATGAGTATAAAAGAAAAAGAAGACATAGAAGGAAATGACCCCGAATCAATCACTCTCAAACAGAAAAATATGTAATTTCATTTCATTTAGTTTTTATCATCAACTTTCAAATTACTTTGTGTGCTTGTGCTCCTTGGAGGCGTTATGCTTCTTCTTAATTGTAATCTTCATAAATAAAGCACTTCTCGTTGGGACTTTGTCTCGAGAGGTTTGTTTCTTACACAATCGTCTGAACCATCCTTTAATTGTTAGCGAGACTCGATAATCCGCGCAAAACAGGTTCCTTTTATATAATTTTCTTGTTATATCTTTTGGTGTATGTTAAGATGTAGCAGGAATTCAGCTCCTTCTGTAATCATTGCTCGTATTTTATGAATTCGGAGTTTGATTTGAGACCTACTCGATTATGAATTCTGAGTTTTCAATCTAGATTTTTTCGATTGAAAAAAAAGGTGGGGAAGAAATAAAGAAATGAATATATTACTTTTTAATGAGATATTCGAGTAATTAAAACAACGTTGAAGTATTGGGGATAAATTTAATGATTTTTAAAATTATAAAATGGATAGATTTAAAGTGTGATGAATATATAAAAATGACGTAAATATAGTGTTTAAATGAATGAATTTAATAAGGTTAATAATGGAATAAAAGTGGATGAATACAATAGTTTTTATAAAATTTAAAATTTTAATAGCGATGCACTTAGAGTGGAATAAATATATAAAAATGTGGATGGAAATAATGGTACCCTATTCTTATCATAAGATTTTTCTTAATTAACACATTTTGTAGTTGATAATAGTTTATGTCCAAAAAGTCCGTTGAAATAGCATATAAAAACCTTATTTTAATGGAAACAAAATATTTTGACATAAATCAACATCAAGAATGAGATGTGTTAATTAATGGAAGATTGTAGATAAGAATTTTACGAAAAAAATTGAGGAACTAATTAATACAATGAACAAAGATTAAAGAACTTAACGACGTTAACAATGTGGTGTAACAAATAAAAATTATGTTGTCAGTGTAACCTATAAATACATGATTTGTTCTAATTTTCTCTTTTTTATATAAAAAATGTGTCATAGAGCATTCACACATTAAACGAAAAATAAAATAAAAATATGGGTAATTATATTATCACTTAAAACATGTTTTTAATAAATACACCACAATAAATTTACAATTATATATCTAATTCAATAAAAATAATAAAAAAAGAGAAAAATATTTTATTTAATGTCTTTCACTTCTAAAAAATTATCCGTTCCTCTTCTAATTGACTGTAACACAAAGAATTAAGTAAAGAAAATGATATATACAAAATCTTGCTAATTGTACAGATAAAACATACATATTGGATGACAGATACAACTGGACAACACAAGCGATGTCCATTGATTGGTGCTGTAGGTTTTTTTTTCTAACTCCACAAATGATATATGTCATCCAATTTGTAATACAGATTGTACAAATAGCATTTTCCTGTATACAATCATTAGTCATCACCATTCCTTCTCATATTGCGAGAATGAAAAACAATAATATACATTATATAGAGATTAGATGGAGAATGATACATATGGAAAGGGGGGGAGAGAGAGAGAGAGAGAGAGGGAGAGGGATTTGTAAAAAGATAAGGCAATTTTTGGAACATCAACGTTTTAGAGAAGTTCGGGTGAAAACATGTGTTATCGAGAATGATTAAATCACGGCATTACATCACAAACTTCCTCCTCTAATCAAACGAAATTAAACGATGATTAACAAGAATCAACATTTTCTAGTAGAATTTGTTGTTCTTTTATGGAAATATCGTGTTTCTACTGTCTCTCATCTGACGACACTTGTGGCTCGTCCTAAGTGGAAGACATTTATTTGCCTGTTCAACAAGAACATGTCCAAGCTGAGGAAAATTCTATTACAATCCAGTAAGTTACGCTTTGAATTTTTACAATGGACCAGTGCTAAACAATCAATTAGAAGAGGAACCGACATGCCGAAATTTTTGTTGAGGTACTCAGTGGCAAAGAAAATAATAGATAACCAGTTAATGATTGTAATGTCTACAAAAATTATGTTAAAATGTATATTTAAAAGTGTGGTTAATTAAGTAATTTTACATATGGCCATTTAAGTAAATAAAAACATTAATTAACCTTAAAATATTAAGAACTAGTAGGTTAATTGTTGATAAACCATCATCAAATTTCATATAGTACGTGACTTGTAGAAAGAGAAACCGGTGGCCTCATTCTATACTCGAAGGATCATCGAATGTTCTAGGGTTTCAATTCTTCTTAATTATATAATGCTATTTATTCGATATATGTTTGTGTAATTAACATATATTTGTGCACTGATCGAAGTTGAGTTTCAGCCCTGGGGAGTGAAAGCTGTCGAGTTACAAGTGTAATTGCACCGACTGGATTCGCATGATGTTCCCATGATGATCGACTCGTCGCCGGAGTCTAACACACTGTCTCGCCACGAGCTTATTCTTCAGGTACAAATTTTTTGTTGAAGAAAAAGTGAAAATAATGATCTCTTTTTCTCCACGCAATTATATGACTCTCAGTGCTGTAAGACTGGATTTCTTAATTTTCGAGTTTAAGAAAAAATAATTTGTGATACTTATCTAAATTTTTGGATTTCTGTTTCTAATGAATACGAACCGATTATTTGAGAATTGTAAATCAATGTCGATTTAAAGCATATATTTTCCTGTTAATTCATTTTGTCTACCAGAGGCTAGCAAGTCTGGGAGTTCCTGAAGAGAATTTGAGTCAAGGACCTCAGGGTTTGGTTGCTTATGTCAAGAATGATAAGTCTCGAATAGCAGAATTGGTCTCTGCTATCTTGTCTACTGATGAGGAGGCAACCGAGGCTGTTTCAGAAACTCGTGGAGGGAGTACAAAAGAAGCTGATGAAGATGTCTTTTGTGAAAGTATGATTTGGTTGCAATGGTTGATGTTTGATGGTGACCCGAGCCTTGCACTGGAGCACCTGGCTAAAATGAATGGTAACCAGCGTGGTGTTTGTGGGGCTGTATGGGGAAACGATGATCTTGCGTACAGTTGCCGGACATGCGAACATGATTCTACTTGTGCGATTTGTGTTCCTTGTTTCGAGAATGGAAATCACAAAGATCATGATTACTCTGTTATATATACGGGTGGAGGGTGCTGTGATTGTGGAGATATTACTGCATGGAAACGTGAAGGATTTTGTTCGAAGCACAAAGGAGCAGAACAGATTCAACCCCTTCCTGAGGATTTTGCAAAGTCTTTGAAGCCTGCTTTAGATTCCTTACTTGTTGATTTGAGAGAAAAGTTACTTTATGCAGAAAGTGCCTTTCAGGGAAGTCCTATATTGACTAATCATGTTGCTGAGCCTGTAAAGGCTGCAAATGATTTGACCTCTGCAGTGGTAGAGATGCTGTTAGAATTCTGTAAAAGCAGTGAAAGTTTGCTCAGTTTTATTTCTGTGAGAGTGTACTCTTACCCTGGTTTATTGGCTGTTTTGTTAAGGGCAGAGAGGTTCTTGAACGATGGAGTAGTTGGGAAGCTCCATGAATTACTTCTGAAATTGATTGGTGAACCTATATTTAAATATGAGTTTGCAAAAGTGTTTTTAAGCTATTACCCAACTGTTGTAAATGAAGCCATAGAAGAGAAAAGTGACAATGTCTTCAAGAAATATCAACTTCTGTCAACATTCTCTGTCCAAATTCTGACAGTGCCTACACTAACTCCACATCTTGTAGAGGAAATGAATCTGCTGTCCGTGTTGTTTGAATGTTTAGAAAGGATATTCATTTCTTGTGCAGGAGAAGATGGGAGGCTGCAGGTACTGAAATTGTTTCCTTCATTTTTCTGGTCATGCTTATTGTCCATTAAGATATGTGCACTTTCCATGGTAATATGAAGCTGTCATTTTTGTGTCTCTCAAAATTGTTTGTTAAACTGTTGCACATCAACATTAAGTTACTAAATACTTCTATATATGTCTAGAAAGACAATTAGTATAAATGATGGCGTCAACTGGAATTGTGTGGTCTGCTTATAAATATCTCCTAATATTGCTCATTTATTTGTTCCTGTTATACATTCTACATAAGCATCTATGTGCTTTTACTAGAATGAAACCTGTTTAATGTGCTTTTTTGCCCATAGATTGCCTGTTCAATCTACTCCTTCAACATGAAGTTCACGTGTTTCCTTTGTGACCTAATCATGAGATTTGGAAATTAGAACTCAGACTTGGTAGTGTTGTTGACTATACTTGATAAGTTGGCCAGGCTTGACTGAGTAACAAAGTCAAGACTTAGGAAATAATATCCTAGAAGATCAATGATGCAGCATATTTTATAGCTAAGTGACAGTTGCGGCAATGCTTAAAAAAGCTTTGCATTTTGTTTCTGTGAGCCGGGGCGTCGGTCTTGAGCCGCTTTGAAGCGTAAGTCTCAAGATAGAGTAATAATTAATACAAAAGGATAGAGAAGTGCATAAAGATGCTCATAATGTATTATACAGCATCTTAAAAAATCCATAATGAAGAAAATTAACAAATCTAGAAGTATAACTTGCAAACAAACATAAAATAAATCAATAATAGAAAGGAAAATAGCCACAAAACTAAGTCCAGTAATACTTTAATAGAATATCTGGAAAATGCAAGAAAATTCTCAAACATCTTAGTTGTCTCAAGGCTTAGCCTTTGAGGCGTAAGCCTCACTAATGGAACTTAAGGGGCAGGATTCGAGGAGTTTTATGAAAGCCTATGTGAGGCAAAATTTGAGTGCGTAAGCCTCAAATAGTTTATGACACAGTGGTTGTGGCAGAGGAGTAAATATGCAAATGAAATAGAGGCGTCAAGACGGACGGGCCGNTTCAAAAATCAATTTAGGAGATAGAGGCAGAGTAGAGGGGTCAAGAAGGACGGGCCGGTCAGACCCGTGAAAATTGGCCCGAATCGACCCGGGACCTCGGGCCGACCCGTGAACCGAGCAGGCGGTTCATGGGTCAAGGAGGTGTGACCCTCGGACTTCGCGGGTTGCACCTTCACGGGCTGCGATTAACACGCTGGCCCGTAAATTTTTTTTTTAATTTGAAAAAAAGGTATGATAGTTAAGACTAAATTATAGTTAAGAGTTAAGACTTAAGTAGGTACCACCTAGTTGGGATGTATTTATGCTATAAATATTTGATAATAGTAATTAGAAATGTTATTATTTGTTTAAGTTAAATTTAACTTTGCAAAGTTATAAATAATTCGTTACCGAGCTCATATGTTGGCGGGCTGACCCGGCCCGGACCACCCAGATTGACACCTCTAAAATGAAGTATGACAAAAGTCAAATTTCGTAAATTAGATTCTTCTACCTAGTCGGATCACACAGGTATCTGGAAAAACTCTAATTAAAGGCTTTAATTTGGGTATTAGAAAGAAGCCAATTATCTTCCTGGCTTACTACTTTGGGAACTGAATAGATCAGTTTTTCATTTAGTGAGAAAGAGAGAGAAGAAAAAAGGTTGCAATGGTTTGATGGGAACAAATCAGAGAGAGGGTGCACAGAACAGTTATTGACTTAAAAATGAAGGAAAAAAACCTGTTAAATTTTCCCAATGGGCCTGTACCTCATCAACAAAGCATAGATGGTTGCATCTCGCCGCCTGGACATATGCTTGGAAACAAAAGATAAAACGCTGTTTGAGTACATACGCTTCCATCATAGGTCCATAACGTCCCAACCCTTTAGGGTGCTACTGATAAACTGTACGTCTCTAAGAGCGTTGATTTTTCACCATATAACTCCCCATATTAAACATAGTTTTTATTGCTTAGGATGCATCTTCTCACCCGATGGATGTCTAGAATCTGGATTGCAGTTACTGAATGAGGAATGGACTATTAATCTGCAATTCAGGGTTTTGAATTTGATATGAAGATAATTATAAGTAAATTTTGAATGATTTCCTTTTCAAAAGCGATACTTATTTTTCTGGACACCAAGCATCTTGACTCACCAGAATTTGTTCAAGCTGATTTTTTGAGTTTCGACAAGTTATTCAATATTCACTATCAGTCAAGTCAATCGAATCAGGCCAAGCAAATACATGTAACAACTTCTTCCGACCATGGCTACTGAATTTGGCCATAAGGCCCCAACATGGTTCATGCGGGGTTCAGTCTATATCGTATGCATATGTACTGTCCACTAGGAAGTGGGTGGCACTCCCAGTTGGTCCATATCATATGCTGTCCACTAAGAATTATAACCAGAAGATGGATATGGTCACAAGCATACTGTGACACAGCCTCATAGTTTTATATCGACTAAGCGTTTCAAGTAAACAAATACTATCAGAGACTAAATACCCTAAGTTCCAACTGTGGGTCATTTATTGAAACTAGGATTTGGTTAAGAGATATGCACTTGTTTGCAGTGCAATGATTGAAAGAATATTTATTCTACTGACTATTTCCAGGGAAGATAATTGTAAGGGTGACGATCATGTGACACAATTACTACTATTATGTGATCAGTTGAATGAAATTATTATCCTTCATTTTTACTTTTATTGTTGGGTGTTGCCTGGAATTTTCAGTATTTTTTTAATTCAAATGTTACTTTAGGTAGGTCTTCTGGTTGGGATTAAGTTTTTGAGCTTTTACCCTTGAAAATAATTGTCCGTGCTTGTGTCTGTATCTAGCACTCATTGGCATGAGTGTAGGTCTTTTGCACTCATTGGCATGAGTATAGGTCTTTTGCAGAGGTTTAAGCCACATCAGAAGCTAAAGAGTCTGACCATGGTTTTAGATGATGCAAGACCTGAATGCCTCTTTTTTAAGTTTCTGTTTTAAATTTATTGAATGTGCGGACTTCTTAATCGATTGAATAATTTTCTTATATTTAGTTACTATTATAATATTTCATAGAGCTCCTCCTCAGAGCTATCTGAAGTGTCTTATATTTTTTTCATAAGGATTCAGAGGGAATTCTTAAAATGTTTGTAGCATATTTCAATTGTAGGTGATGACACGTGTGCGATTTTCTTAAGTACTGATAATTTAACGTCGTTGTTCATTCATGGTTCTTTTCTGTTCTTGTTTTTGGAGGCTTTTTATATCAACTGCTTGGTTTGTATAATACATCTAGATATGCAATGTGTTAATTATGAACTCTATGAATTTGTGATATTGCTTTTCCTTTGTCCGGCAGCAGTCGCCAGCTCTGATTACTTTGGTTGTGTTATGATTCGTTTTTTATTCTTGGAGTCTACTTTTATGTTCTCTCTAAGTTCTTTTTGCATAATAGAAGGTTGAATTTAGTTTCTTTGCAGGTTGCTCAATGGTCAAACTTGTATGAAACTACTGTCCTTGTGGTTGAACATATAAGATATGTCATGAGCCACTATGTTGTATCCAAATACTTATGCCATGGTGGGCGAGATTTAGTTAGAACATGGATGAGATTATTGGCTTTTGTGCAAGGAATGAACCCTCAAAAGCGAGAAACTGGTAGTCACATAGAATTAGAAAATGACAGTATCCATCTGCCTTTCATTTTATGTAACTCCATATCCAACATTCTTTATCTCTTAGTCGCTGGAGCATTTTCTGTAAATACTAGTGAGGAGACTAATGAAGATGCTTTCTTCAGAGCTTATAAACTAGATTTTGAAGACCAAGATAGTCTAAGACTTGCAAAAGTGGGAAGGCTATCGCAGGAAAGCTCCATCGGTAGTGTTATAGGGAAGAATGCATTTGATCATGCATCCAAGGCCGCAGACAATATTCCTATTCCATCATCTGCTTTATGGTTAACATTTGAATGCCTGAGGGCTATCGAAAATTGGTTGGTAATGGATAACACGGTTGGCCCGTTCAATATCTTGCCTTCAAAATCAAAAAATGTCTTTGGTAATAATTTTTTGGCTTTGAAAAGGACGCTGTCTAAGTTTAGAAGAGACAGACCCATTTTCAAATCGTTCACTTCATCTAAAAGTAAGCTTACAATTTCAAGTGAAGTTTTTAGTAAACGATGTTCTTCACCATCCCGTGGTGGTTTTAACATTGGTATAGGATTGGAGTGTGGCCGACCTATTGGACAAGAAGCTGAACCTGGAGGTTGTGATGACAGTATGTTGGATGGAGAAAGTTCCTCTGAGCTTGAAGGCCTCAAAGTTCTGAGTTTTTCAGATTGGCCTGATGTTATGTATGATGTTAGTTCACAGGGCATCTCAGTTCATGTTCCGTTGCACCGGTTACTTTCGATGGTTCTGCGGAGAGCACTCAAACAATGTTATGGTGAATCAGCGTCTTTAGATATGATGAACGCTAGGTCTACTGATCGGTCGTCTGCTATATATAATGACTTCCTTGGACACATTTTAGGAGGTTGCCATCCTTGTGGATTTTCTGCCTTTTTGATGGAGCATCCCCTTCGAATAAGGGTGTTTTGTGCCGAGGTACAGGCTGGAATGTGGTGTAGGAATGGGGATGCTCCCATATTATCTAGCGAGTGGTATCGTACAGTTCGCTGGTATGTGAATCTCTACTGTGTATCAGTTCATTGAAAGCTCCGCTTTTATAGTTATTTTGTGATTTTGTTATGGTCTCAGAACTCCTTTTCAACTTTTCTGTGCAGGTCTGAACAGGGCCAAGAGCTTGATCTTTTCTTGCTGCAGTGTTGTGCTGCATTAGCTCCAGCCGATCTTTATGTCAAGAGAATTTTAGAACGTTTTGGACTATCAAACTATATGTCATTGAATCTTAAACCGTCCAGTGAGTATGTAATTTTCTCTTTTCCTTCTCCTCAGCAACTTTTTTCTCAAAAACTGAAGTCATGGTTTCTGCTTTATCAAATTTTTTGCCACTAGTGGTGTAGAACCGATCCTGGAAGTTTGGGTGAAGGGACACTTCTCATATAGAATTTATTACCTAGTACCTATGAGGGTGTCTCTACACATTAAGACTAATGTAAGTTTTTGTTGTGAACAGGTAATATAGTCCATTCAAGTTGTTCACAATCGTTAGTGTATTTTTGAACTGCAAAGAAGTTATTTTAGTAGTTCAGACTTACTTGACACTTGAGTAGAATAAAACTTTGGAACTTCTGTTCTACAAATATTGAGATACTTGGACCCAAAACCTAGGACATGTTACTATAAACATATAAAATTTTCTGTGTTCAAGTGTGAAAATTTGTGGCCTTTGCCAATTAGGTTTCCTCTGAGTGCGTAATTACTCAACATCCTAGTTTCAAATACCAGGAGCAATGGAGGAGAATAACGTTCACAAGTCCTGGTTTATATGGTGTGGCTTATGCAATGAGGTTTGGCATAGGCTGAGGCCCCAAAATAGTGCATCAGTTCTTTCATCTCGTGTGTACGAGGTTATTCATGAATTTTGTTTTATTGTTGAACTGAGATGATTCACCATTGTGGCTGCTTGTATTCATGCTGCCGCACCTAAAATCAATTCTGTTTCTTAAGATTTAGAGATATATCTGTTCGTGACAATTACACCTTTTTTATGATCTTATCATCCATTAACATTTTATTGACCACGCATATTCAATCTATATTCTTTTAGACTTCGCTATTGGTGTAATATTTTTTGTGGATTTTTATGGTAAATTTCATCCTTATTTCTAAGTCAAGATTGGCAACATGGTAAATTTAATCCTTTTTTATGATCTTATCATCCATTAACATTTCATTGACCATGCATATTCAATCTATATTCATAATCTTCGCTATTGGTGTAATATTTTTTGTGGAATTTTAAGGTAAATTTAATCCTTATTTCTAAGTCAAGATTGGCAACATGGTGAGGGTTTGAAGGTCTCCGACATGCAACCTGTAAGTGTCCAAACACTTGCTTGAGGCAAACTTGGTGCATTGAAAATATGAACAGCACAATTGTTAGTTGCTTTGGAGAACATGGGAGCATTAGTAGCTTATAATTGATGAGCTGTCTCAAATTTAGCTTGTTGGCCCAAAAGGAGGATGAAAGAATCAATAAAATGAATAAATAGTGGAGGTTAATATCACAATCAACTTATTTCAGAAAGGTATTGTTGGTGATTGACGCAATCCAAGAACTAGAATTGTAGGAGAGAAGAGAGAGAGGGGAAAATAAGGGAAAGAGAAGAGAGAAGTGAGAGAGGGCAGAGAGAAACAGTATGTGAGAGAGAAATTGTGTACTTTTTATTATATAGTCAAGTGTGTAAAATACAATGCATAAGCCCCATTTATATAGGTTCAATAACTTAAGTAGGAAACAACTAAAGTAATAACATAAAATTAGAAAATATATAAAGTAAACCCTAATTATTTTTCCTAAAATAAGAAACCTAACTTGGAAATCTTCATAAAATTTATCCAAACTGGATCCCCCATCAGTTTTATTCCTCTGCACAGAGTTGTTCTCTTCATATTCGTTGTCTTTCTTCTGGCCAGCTATTTAATTTCCTGCTGACGAAGACACATATCATGTTTCTTCTATGGGGTCAAAAGTGAACTCCTAAAGTTCCTACTTTAAGCATATGATACAATTGATAAGAAATCCATTAGTTTTGTATGTGAAAATTAGAAGTTGCATAAAATACCCACCTTTCCACTCGCCCCTATGAATTCCTTGAATAATTCTTTTTTTCAATACTACTTTTTCAGGCATGAATCAACTCTACTCGCAGAAATGTTGACTCTTCTAATACAAATAGTCCACGAGAGGAGGTTTTGTGGGCTGACTACTGTGGAATGTTTGCAAAGAGAGTTGGTATATAAGCTCTCTATTGATGATGCCACTCGTAGTCAGCTGGTGGAATCTCTTCCTCGGGATCTTTCAAAAATTGATAAACTTCAGGAGATATTGGAAACAATTGCAGAATATTCCAATCCATCTGGCATGACTCAGGTTGGTTTTTGAATAATGAAAACTTCTTATGTTGTCAACTGGAATAAACATGTTGAGCTTGTATCTCAGGGCATGTATAAATTACGATCAGCATATTGGAAAGAACTCGATTTGTATCATCCTCACTGGAACTCGAGAGACCTACAAGCTGCGGAAGAAAGATATTCTCAGTTTTGTAATGTTTCTGCATTGACAACTCAGCTCCCTAAATGGACAAAGATTTATTACCCTCTCAGGGGAATAGCTCAAATAGCTACTTGTAAAACACTCCTTCAAATTGTCCGTGCCATTCTTTTCTATGCTGCGTTCACTGACGAACTCACACCGTCTCGGGCTCCAGACCATGTTCTTGTAACTGCACTGCATTTGCTGGTATTAGCCTTGGATATCTGTCAAGTACAGAAGGAATCTGGTGACCTGTTATGTTGTACAAATGATGTGATTCCTATTTTGGCATTTGCCAGTGAAGAAATATGCATGAATAAGTATGGTGATCAGAGCATGTTATCACTTCTTGTCTTGTTGATGAGGATACATGAGAGAGAAAATGCTGAGAACTTCATGAAACCTGGCAATTTCTGTCTCTCGTCTTTAATATTGGATCTACTCAAGAAGTTTGCGGAGCTTGAACCTCGATGCATGACCTCATTGCAGAAACTTGCTCCTGAATTAGCATATCAACTTTCACTATCCATTCCTCGTGGTAATACTAATGACATGGCATCAGCTTCTGATAGTGAAAAGCGCAAAGCAAAGGCTCGAGAAAGACAAGCTGCTATATTGGTGAGAAGTTATTTTTGGTTCAGAATGGTTGCCGATTATGCTTAAAGAGAGGGAAAAAAAAAGAATTCCCTGTTTAATTTTGGCATGCTTGTGGCTGCATATATTTTCAAATCAGAATATTTTCTAATTGAAATTTGTTATATTTGTTGTTTTACTATTTCTTAACCTTGCTTTACCTATATATATATATTGCTATAGTGTTAATGGACATGTTGGAGAATTCCGCCAGCCACCTTTATGAATGGCTAAATATACTCAGTTATTTGCTATATGATTCAAGTTGTAAAATGGACATCTACCTATTGTGAACACAACTTACTGAATGTCATGTGCAACAGTAATCACGCTTTCTGTTGTGGTTGTGGTGGTTGGGTTGGAGGGTGGTAGCCATACTGTTAAAAAATGAAATGACAATGGAAGGAAAACTTAATTAAAGAACCCTGATAGACTGCTGTCATTGCGTTTTATTTGGTTTGTTGCTTGATTGCAAGTTGATTTGAGAGTTATTAAGGTTAGACTGCTGTCATTGCGTTTTATATGGTTTGTTGCTTGATTGCAAGTTGATGTGAGAGTTATTAAGGTAACTTGTTCGTCAATATGAGATGGAAGTTGATATAGGACCAGAGTACCCCCAGTATCCTTTCTGATTGGTGGCACTGTGTTTATCTAGTGAAATTGCATTCTTTTAAATGCTCATCATTTCTGATATATAGGAGAAAATGAGAGCCCAGCAGTCAAAGTTTTTGGCAAGCATTAGTTCCAGTTCAGATGATGAAATGAATGGTTCTAAATCTGGGCAACTATCATGTGATTCTGATGTAAGCAATTCCCAAGAATCAGCTCAAGTTATTTGCTCTCTTTGTCATGACCCCAACTCTAGAAGGCCCATATCATTCTTAGTTTTTCTCCAGGTAACGTACTCTCTGGCATTTGTTTTTAAATTAAACTGCTCATTGAAGATTTCAGAGAAGCATTAGTCAATTTTCATGTCACATGATATCATTCTAATTTCCTATCTTCACTCTTAAATGAAGAAATCCAGTATTAAGAGTTTCGTGGACAAAGGCCCTCCGTCGTGGGAGCAAGTTAGTCATGCTGGGAAGGAGCATGTTTCTAATAGCACAGTGCCAATTGATTTATCCCAAAGGAGCGATATATCTGGCGACTCGGAAATGGTTTCATCTTCTCAGTTGATGGATATGGTTCAGTCTACTTTGAATGATTTTGCTTTAATGGGACAAACTAGGGAAATGAATGCTTTTCTGGAATTTATTCGAGCTTTATTCCCTTCCATTGGGAATGTTCAGCTCCCTTGCATATCGACAGATCTGAAGGAGAAGACAGCAAATTCCCTTGAGACATTAGAAGAACATATATATTTGATGATTAGAGGATTTTGTGCTAGTTTATGGGACTTGGAATCTCAAAGGCCTGCTGGAAATTTTTTTACAGCTGGAGTTAACCTGGAGAGAAGCAGGAATTCTGAATCTCTCTGTCTTGGTAAATACATTGCTGCACTGTCTGTAGAGACATTGGATAATCCTTCAGCTTCTGAGCACAGCCGTCCTCTCAGTGATATGACACAGTCAGAATCCAATATGCTGTATCCAGAATGCGATGTATTCGGTCCTTCTGGCAGTCATGGAATTTACATCTCTTCCTGTGGGCATGCTGTGCATCAAGAATGTCTTGATCGTTATTTATCATCCNCACTCTCCCTTCCTTGTGGAAACGACTTCTAAGTGTCCTATCTTTACTGGGACATCTGCGCTGTTGAGCATCACCAAGGCATTACTAAGCCCCTGTTTGGGCTCCATTAAAATTGTATTTTGAAACAATAATTTTTTGGAAAATGTGTTGTTAAAAATTAAGGAAAAGTTTTGGGTTTATGTATAATATTATTTTAGTGGAAAATGTGTGGTTGAAAATAAGAGAGAAAAATGCATTTTTTTGGATAATGGAGCCCGAACAAGGGCTTAATGAATTCAATTAAGTAGGGGAAATTTGTGTTGTGCAGTTTTTAATTTCAATTTGAGTACAGTGGACATGAGAATGCAAATAAATTTATCATTGGATAACTAATAAATATAGAGATGAGGAGTTGGAACTCATCATTCTTGAAAAACCAAGTATGCATTATGGACTGAGAGACACTGCTGCTCGTTGGTCGGACTCTGAAACTGCGTGCCTGTGGTTATACTTCAGTTGAACTCTAACCCAAATACCTTCTCTTTGATATACATAGATATTTCACTGTTAAGGTCTATAAAGTATTGTGGATGTGATTTTGAAAGGCATTTTTTTTGTTCTTTCTTTATTTGCTACTATGCAGATATTTCAGAAGAGTTGGCTTCGAAGGAGGGCATATTGTGGATCCTGATCAGGTTGAAGCTTTTTTTTTTTAATTAAATTCAGATTTCATCTTTGAATAGCGGTTGGACATTTTGATGATTTTGAATTGATTTCCCAGGGCGAGTTTCTCTGTCCTGTATGCCGGGGACTAGCAAATTCTGTGCTGCCGGCATTGCCTGGTGATTTTAGAAAGGTTCATCCACCACCAGCTATTCCAACTGTTAATTCTATGAATGCTGGTAGCTATTCATCCTTGTCGGATAGTAAAGTTAGTTCCTTTTCTCTCGAAGATGCTTTGTCTCTCTTAAGAAGTGCTGCTGATGTTTCTTTAAGTAATGAGCTTCTGAAAGCTTTTCCATTTGAACAAAATGTGAGGATAACACCAAATCTTGAACCTGTGTTTCGTGTACTGAGTGAAATGTGCTTTCCTGGCGTTGATAAGATTTCGGGGTCTGGAAGGGTAAACCACCCAGTGATTCTATGGGACACACTTAAGTATTCCCTCATGTCAACCGAAATTGCTGCCCGATCCAGAAAGAATTCATTGACTCCAAATTGCAGCCTCGGTTCTTTATACGAAGAACTCAACTCTTCATGTGGTTTCATATTGTCGCTGCTGCTAAATGTAATTCAAAGTATCCGAGCACAAAATTCTCAGAGTGTTCTTTTGAGGTTAAGAGGCATTCAGCTCTTTGCCAAATCTGTATGCTCTGGCACTTCTCCAAATGAAATTTCCAATCACACTTGCCCACAAGAAGGTATAGTTTCAGGTGATGGATTACTGTTGTGTATTTGACTGTTGAATGCAGAAATTCTTCAAAATGGTTTAGATATCAAAATACAGCAATTAATGAACGGACCATTTAAAGATTTTGTGAACTCTCTATATGGCAGAACTTCAGACTAGCTCTTCTAGCTAAGTGATGTGCCTGGATAACCAAGAGATTGACTATGTTAGGATCTTTTGAATTATCCAAACTTCCTATTAGAAATGTATGCAAACATTAAAATGGAAACTAAAACAGGACAAGGTTTTTAGACAATTTGGAGGAGATCTGACAATGTGATCATTCCTGACTGACTCCTAACCACTTTCTTTTCCAACCACATTCTATTTTCCCTTCCCCCCATCTGTTACACCTTCCTTCTTGGGCCTTCTAGAATATGTGAACCGTATAGGGGGCTTATCATTACCCCTGGTTTCCAAAATCACCTTGTCCTCAAGGTGAAAATGAGGAAAGTGTTGAATAATAGATGCAGCAGATTCCCAGGAAGCTTCAGAAGCAGGTAAACCCTTCCATTATATAAGTAACTCCTTCCCTGGGGGCGGTGTCGCAGCAGCTGGGCGTATCTCCAGGATTTTGTCAGGTTTAACCATCCACTCAAGCGTAGCGTCTAAGTGGGGTAGGAGCTGCAGTCTGGTGTCTGTCCTCCCAAGTGCTTTTTTGAGTTGCGACACATGAAAGGCTGGATGTATGGTAGCATCAGAAGGCAACTCCAAGCGGTACCCAACTGGTCCTATGCGGCTGATTACCTTGAAGGGACCAAAGAATCTGGGACCCAATTTCCCGTTTGGTTTCTTTGCCAATGACCGTAGTCGATAGGGTCATAGTTTTACATAAACGAAGTCCCCTACCTCGAACTGAACATCTCTCCGATGTTGGTCTGCCTCCCTCTTCATTCTTGCTTGAGCCCGTAGGAGGTGTGCTTTTAGTTCATCTATTATCATGTCCCTTTCTTTCAACTGTTGCTCAACTGATGCTACTGCTGTCTTTTGGATGTCATAACGGATCAGTTGCGGAGGGTCTCTTCCATAGACAGCTCGAAAAGGAGTAGTGTTGATGGAAGCATGGAAGGTAGTATTATACCAATATTCAACCCAAGGCAGCTAACTGCACCAAGTTCGTGGTTTCTCGTACGTGAAACATCTCGGATAAGTTTCCACACATGTTGACCACTTTAGTCTGGCCGTCTGTCTGGGGATGATAGGTTGTGCTGTGTTGTAGAGCTGTGCCTTGTAATCTGAATAATTCTGTCCAAAAATGGCTCAAAAATATCTTATCTCGGTCAGATATGATGGAACGTGGGATGCCATGTAGTTTCACCACTTCTTTGACAAAGACTGCTGCCACTCCTGCTGCTGTGAATGGGTGCTTAAGGGGAATGAAGTGGTCGTACTTACTTAGCCGATCAACAACTACCAATATTGAATCGTATACCCCCGACTTCGGTGACCCTTCGATGAAGTCCATAGACATATCCTCCCACACTAGATTAGGAATTGGCAGGGGTTGAAGGAGTCCCGCAGGTGACAACGGCAAACTTTTGTTCTGTTGACATACCGAACATTCATCCACAAATTTCTTGATGTCGCTTTTCATACCTCTCCAATACAAATTACTCGTGATCCGCTTGTATGTCCGAAGAAAGCCTGAATGCCCTCCCATTGAGCTGCTGTGAAATTCGTGAAGCAAGGTTGGAATCTAATTCGATGTACTAGATAGGACTAGGCGCCCCTTGTACAGTAACCGGCCTTGGTCCAGAGAATAATGTGGTTGAGAGTCTGGGTCATTTTGAAGTTCTCTCCTGACTTTTACCAACCTTGGGTCTGCCCCGGTTTGTTCCAATATCGATTGTATGTCAACCAGGGCAAGTGAGAGCTGCTAACTCAACTTGAGGCGGAACCCGCGATAAGGCGTCTACTGCTTTATTTTCTATCCTCAGACGATATTGAATCTCGAAATTGTAGCCCATCAATTTGGTTACCCAACGCTGGAATTCCCCAGGCACCACCCGCTGCTCCAACATATATTTGAGGCTACACTGGTCAGTTTTCACTATAAATCGGCGCCCCACCACGTAATGCCTCCTTTTTTGTATAGCCAATAGTATTGCCATCAACTCCCTTTCATATACTGATTTCTGCTGAGACCGAGGGGATAAAACTTGATTGAAATAAGCAATGGGCTGCTAGTTCTGCATCAGCAGCGCTCCTAGATCATACCCAGATGCATCGGTTTCAATCACAAAGTCCTTCATGAAGTCAGGCAGAGCTAACACAGGCACAGTAGACATGGCTTTCTTAAGTTTTTGGAATGCTTCTTCTGCCTCAAATGTCCATCCAAAGGCAACCTTCTTAAGTTGTTGAGTGAGGGGCCACGAAATTGCTCCATACCCTGCGACAAAGCGCCATTTCAACATCGCCTCTATCTTGCTGGGATCAGCGGCTACCCCTTCAGCTGACACTAAATGGCCCAAATACTCTATCCTTGGTTGTGCGAATGAACACTTCTTAACATTAGCGTATAGCTGATGTGCTTTCAATGCGTTAAACACCCTCTCCAAATGTTGTACATGTGAACTGATGTCTGGACTGTAAACCAAGATGTCGTCGAAGAATACTAAGACAAACTTTCTCAAAAACTCTCTGAAAACCTGATTAATTAGTGACTGGAAGGTGGCCGGAGCGTTGGTGAGGCCGAACAGCATGACTAGAAATTCACAATGCCCCTCGTAAGTTCTGAATGCTATTTTAGGGATGTCCTCTTTGCGTACTCTGATCTGGTGGTACCCTGACTTCAGGTCCAGTTTTGAAAATATGGTGGCTCCGTGGAGCTCATCCAACAGTTCATCAATCACCGGGATATGAAATCTGTCTGGAATGGTCACCTTGTTGAGGGCTCGATAATCAACACAGAAACGCCAACTTCCATCCTTTTTGACGAGCAATACTGGACTCGAAAAAGGACTAATGCTCGGCTTAATTATACGTGCTGCTAGAATTTCTTTCACCAGCCTCTCAATCTCATTCTTTTGAAGATGCGGGTATCGGTAGGGCTTGACATTTACTGGTTCTGCTCCTTCCTTTATCAATATCGAATGATCAGTACTTCGTTCGGGATGTAGCCTCTCTTGTTCCGCAAATATCTGTGCAAAACGTTGTAACAATTGTGTGACGATCGCGGGTGGATCCCTTTCTTTTTCCTTGCTTTCTGTGACTGCAGGCACTGTTTCTACCCAAACTCCTTGGCCCTCATTTCTTAATGCCTTCACCATGGCTCGTAGTGAAATCCCTGCTCTGTTAAGCCTTGGGTCCCCCTTCAAGATAATCTCCGTTTCCCCCATTCGAAACCTCATGGTGAGAAGTTTCCAGTTCACTTCCATGCTGCCCAAACTGCACAACCACTGCATGCCCAATACCACATCTGTATTGCCTAACCCTATGGGCAGAAAGTCCTCCACTATTGTTGAACCTTACATTTCGAGAATGATTCCCCTGCAGATCCCCTTCCCTTTCACTGACTCCCGTGACCCCGTGATTACTCCGTAATTAGTAGTAGCAGTAATTGGAAGGTCTGGTTGTTTGACTAAATCCAACGATACGAAATTATGTGTGGCCCCACAATCAATTAAAATGGTTACCTCCCTCTGCTTTACAATTCCCTTTGTCTTCATGGTACCTGGGTTCGTTAGCCCCACCACCGAGTTTAGTGATAGCTCCACCTTCTCCGCCACTTCTACTGGGTTTTCTTCTCCCGGCGAATCTTCACATTTATCGCTCCACAACTCCCCTTCCTAGACTAGCAGTACCCTCAGCTCTCTATTTTTGCATTGATGACCCGCGGTATATTTCTCATCGCAACGAAAACAAAGCCCCTTTTCCCTGCACAGTTGCCACTCGGAATTCGACATCCTCTTTGTGGTGTATTCCCGGCGTGGGTCGACGAATTTTTCTCCTACCGTCACTGTTCGTGTTGGAAATGCTTCTGGCTTCTTCTCCAACCATCTATTTGGGACTGTGTTAATTTTGGTAATTTTATGGGCCAGTGTTTCTCCTGTAGCTTTTAGGGTTGAATTTCTATCTTCTACTTTTTGGGCCACCTCCATAAGTTGGCCTAATCCAGTTGGGCTTAATAACCTGACTTTAGCCTTGATATCTGGCTTCAGCCCATTGATGAAAGTGCTTTCTAGCACTTCCTCTGTCAGCCCCACCACTGGTGCAGCTAACGCTTCAGAGGTATGCCGAAATTCAGCCACCGTCCCTTCCTGTTTGACGGCCAGAAATTTTTCGCAAAGGCTCCCTTCTTGAGTCGGCCGAAACCGTAACAGCAACTGGTTTCGAAATTGTGCCTAGCTGTGAAAAGGAGTTTTAGCTTCTGTCCATTGTAGCCAAGATAAGGCATCGCCGTCCAGACTTACCCCTATCGCCCCTAACTTCTCCTTTTCCATCAGTCTGTTGACTTCAAAATACCTCTCAGCCCGGAATAGCCATCCATCTGGATTTTCACCACTGAAAATTGGCATCTCCAGCTTCCTAATCATTTTCCAATTGTTTTCATCTCGATTTGATTCCCTTCTACCCACATCGCTACCAATACTGATCTCAATCCCCACTTTCCCCTGTCTGGAACTCGTTGGTCAGTCCTATTTGTACTTGTGGGAACAGGACCTTCCGTGACACTGCCAGAACTTCCTCCTTCCAAATTTTTATTTTCCCCTGGATTCGAGTTTCCCAGCAACATCACCACCTTTTGGGTTTCTTCTCGGGATTGCAGAATTCTGGCTACATTCTGTGTGAGATGTTCCCCCGATTTCTCCAGACCCGGTAACCTCTGGAGTTCTGTCCTCACTTCCTCCATTTCTTTTTCCATAGCTTCCACCTTACTTTAGGTTTTCTTTTGAGCCATCGGGATCTACTGTTCTGATACCAATTTGTTAGGATTCAAACACAAAAGAAAGTAGAATAAATCTTTGATTGAAAATAAGAGAATTACAGATAAGAAAATAGCACTAGACTCCTTTCCCCTACTCAGTAATTGCCTGCGTTTCCCTCCCAGACTAACTTTATTTATAGCCATTCCTTCCTAACTGACTTCTAACCACTTTCTTTTCCAACCACATTCTGTTTTCCGTTCCCCCCATCTGTTACACCTTCCTTCTTGGGCCTTCTAGAATATGTGAACCGGATAGGGGGCTTATCAGGATCCTTCCCAGTTCCTTCCAGTCTGATCACTCATCCTTCAATTACACGTGACCCACTTGCATATGATGGGACTATGTAGGTCCACATTAGTGGATGATTACAATTGGAGGGAATTGGACCTGGAGTGTAGCTGAACCCGATATATAAGTTTAGACATGACACTTTCCTTTTTTACAGATATTTATCTACAGTTGTTCAAAGTTATAATATTTTTTGTAGGTAAGATATTTATCTACATTTGTTCAAAGTTATAATATTTTTTGTAGGTAATTTGCTTTGTATATTAGAGAATGCTGAGGCAGATATACAGTATCCGGATGTTCGTTTATGGAGACGTGCTTCTGACCCTGTCCTCGCACATGATGCCTTTTCGACATCAATGTGGATACTCTTCTGTCTGCCATGTCCATTTTTGTCATGCAAAGACTCCTATCTCTCTCTTGTGCATGTTTGTTATGTTGTTACCATTACTCAGGTAGAATGAATTTGCCTTGTTTGACCTTGAAAAGATGTAATTAGCAACTCTCTACGTGACTTTCTATTTATACTTTTTTTCCTGCAACAGGCTATAATTACATATTGCAACAAACGACAATGCACTATTAGTGAATTGGGATTTCATGATTGTTTGATTACTGACATCTTCAAATTTATGGAGGAACACGGAGGAGCCCTACAGTGTTTTGATTCGAGCTATATCAATCCCACCTATGATATGAAAGATGCAATTCGCAGCCTGAGCTTTCCTTATTTGCGGAGGTGTGCATTGTTGTGGAAACTAATAAATCATTCCAGTAGAGCATCATTCAGTGATGGGGCTTGCACATTTGATGGATCTCTATACGCAGATGATGATTCAGAAAATGTCAGGAACATTGTAGAAGAGCTTTCCGAGGTTGAAAAGCTGGAGAAGATGTTTAATATTCCACCACTTGACGTTATTATTAATGATGAAAAGTCACGGTTCACAGCTTTTAGATGGCTTTGTCATTTTTCTGAAGTATGGGGAGTTCGTAAATCTCAGTGTGTGTTGAAATGTAACCCTGCAGTTCCTTTTAAGTTGATGCTCTTGCCTTGTCTTTACCAGGATCTCTTGCAAAGGTGAGCATCTGAATGGCTGAATTAGTAGTTTACTTTTTTTTTTTTATTGTTGTGTGAATCCGTCAATCACGTGGGAATTCTGTTCACCATCAGGTATATTAAAAAGCGTTGCCCGGACTGTGGAGATGTTCAGAAGGAGCCTGCATTATGCTTGCTATGTGGCAAATTGTGCTCACCAAACTGGAAGACATGCTGCAGGTAATTCCAACTTTTGCTGTGTTTCATTTATGTATTCTTGTACCTGTAAGGTGCTAGCTTTCTTTCCTTTCCTTTTTCTTTTTCCTTTTTGGGTGTGTATGCATTAGGAATGGGGGTTGTTTGTGTAGGGTGTTTATGCTTCTAATGTTGTTTGTGCGATTGACTCTGCTCATTTTTTCTCAAGGGAAAGTGGTTGTCAAACTCATGCAAAGGCCTGCGGGGCTGGCATTGGAGTGTTCCTATTGATTAGAGTATGTTAAACACCTGCAACATGTACTTTGGCGGTTAACTGTCTAATATATTGATTATAATTATTTTTGTTCACGTAGTCTTCTTGGGTATGAGTTTGTATATCTTCATGGAAAATAAAATATGCTCCTGATATTTGTTACAGAGAACCACAATCTTCCTACAAAGATCTGCTCGTCAGGCTCCTTGGTCATCCCCCTACTTGGATGCATTTGGTGAAGAGGTGAGTTTTGGTTATAGAGGAAGCTTGTCTTGTACTTAAGATATTACTTTTTATTTGTTCATGAACTCTATTTAATGTACTACTTCAAAAACGTATGTATAAATGTGCTCTAGCCAATGGCTATTGAAGCTTGGCTTGTTCACAATTTTTTCACTTCAAAAATATCTTTACTCAACTTGGCAGAGCATCTCGAAAGATTATGAGTTCTAATAAACGTTTAATTAACTCCAAATTTATCTAGCTGTTGCCTATTCTCAAGTTGCTAAATTTGAAGCAATGTCGAAAACTAAAATGATAAATGAAATGTCAAATGCTGAACTGTACATATGGGTGGCCCTTGTGCAGATATGCTGTTTCTTTAAAATGCTCCTCTTAGAAAATGTGATTTGCTTGTCTAGTTTCTTTGAGGAGAAGTCTCTAAAATTTCATGTGTGTTATCTCAAGGCATAAGATTGAAAATACTATTGACATGTTACTCTAAGCTGCATTTTTATGTGTGCAGATTGCAATATTGAAAAATAGTTGATCCCAGAATCTCAACTGAAAATGTAGGAGTCTGTTTGAGCCCCATTTTTTGCCCAAAATGCATTTTGGAATAGTATTTTGATGGAGAATGTGTGGTTAAAAAAGAAAAGTTTTGGATTTGTATGAAATATTATTTTATTGAAGAATGCGTGGTTGAAAATAAGAGAAAAATGTATTTTGAAAATAATGGGGGTCAAACAAGGGCTAGATCTACTGACTACTGCTTGATGTATACCATATTTGGTAGTGATCTTACTTTTGTATCCACTTATTCTTAAAAAAAGGATAGAATCATGTGCATTTAAAGTTATTCTTTGATCATCTGTCAAGGGATCATTACTCGATAATGATATAACATGAATATCATTTGGTGTATTTAATCTATGAAAATGGTTAAATTCTCTGATGAATTAGAAAATACTAGGTGCAACAGTATATTGACTTGTATTTATTGTTCTAGTCAAATTATCTGTGTTCTGTTTGTCTTTGAGCACGCTGCATGGGCCACGAAGCAAACTGCAATTTCTCCCATCCTTGGGGGAGGTATTGAGCAATTATACTTGAGGTTAATAACATGCATCTTCAATGACCAATTTTCCCCGAACTTCTTGCAGGATGTTGAAATGCGTAGAGGGAAACCGCTGTATCTGAACAAAGAACGTTACGCAGCTTTGACTCATATGGTAAAGTCGAAATGTTTGTTTTTATCTTTTGACTTTCTTATGGCACTTGTATGCTGAAACCTCTGCAAATGAATTTGATAAATTAATAACATCACTGAATTCGTGACATGACATCTTCCTGTCCCAACTGGCCAAGTGTACTAAATTAATAACCTTGCTAAATGCATAAAATGATAAATTTTTAAAAATCCGCCCAACGAATATATAAATTAATAATTGATTGAATACATTATACATAAAAGAAATAGGTTCTCGAAAATTCACAATATATGTAAAGGAACATTTTACTTGACTTATATCCTCTCAATTCAGTTCTTTCTAAATATATATTTGAACTCATTTGTCTTTTCTTTGTAGCTAAACTGATCTCAACATCATTATTAGTTTTTTGCAATGCGTACGCCACCTTTGGAATATTGTTTCATTGTCTAGCAAGTAGTTATTGAAGTTTACTATTGCTTCAAAGATATCTTTTTGAGAAACATATGATAAAACACAATTGTCTTTGGAATCATGATCGTCACGGGTAGGTGTATTCATTACCCCTTCAATAACCTCTTCATTAGCTTGTTTTTATTAGTTGTCTAGAGCTTGAATTCGATTTATAAATTCGTTGTTTACTTGCCCCCTCCCCCACCCCCCCCCACCCCCAGCTGCCTACCTACTCCCTGAAATTGGTTCATCACTCTCAAACTAGCCAATAAACGGTTTAGTCAACGAGAAGCAAATACAATACAAGTATGAAAGTAGAGATTTTATCTATATAGTGACTCATTCGAGGATTAAATCAAATAAGCCCTCTTAACTCAATGGTAGAGTAATGCCATGGTAAGGCGTAAAAGAAGAGATGTCTTATTTTTCAATTTGAAGGTTATATTTTTGAGTGGCAAAAAGAATAAGCTTAATACTTCGTCTGGGGATATTTGATCTTCAATTGTTGGTTTTTGAGTAACAATAGTTAATAGGCTTGTTTTTTATGCTTGTAACTTGTGATTTTGCCTTTTAGGTGGCCTCTCATGGGCTTGATCGAAATTCAAAGGTGCTTCGGCAAACTACAACTGATTCTTTTTCCACGTTTTCACTTCAAAATATGTAATACAAAAAAATTTGAACGAGGTCTGGTTTCAATCTTGGTTTTGGCCACTGTTTTTATTGTATTTTTTGGCGTTTATTTCTCTCCAGTTTCTACTTGTATTTTCATTGGGGTAACTTGTGCTGCAGGCAGAATAGCACTTCGAATCTTGGTTGAAATGGCAAGAAATATGCTATTGTCCATATAATCAACTTCTGGATTTGACGTATCAGAGGCAGCGCCCATCAATTAAATGTACAGTTCTTGTTGCAGTTAGGTTGCTATTTGTTTCTATGGTGATGGTGGTTTTTGTGTGGTCTCTTGTTGAGAGTATTGGATGTTGGCACTCTGATTTTGGCACCTTAATTGACACGTCCAAATTCAAGCAGCGTTTCCTTTGTAGCATGTCAGCACTGTGATTTCGAGATTTGGTTATCCAATTTTCTTTAATTTTAGCTTTTCTCATTTGCCACATTATAACAGCTTTTCTCCCCTTCCCCTGAAACATTTTCTTTTTTCTGAAATTGTATTTGGTCACATGTATCTTGAGTTTTTTCTCTCGTTTGTTTGGATCTTTATCTCATGATTATCTACGTTCCTCAGGTTATATGGATTGGCTTAGTCGTCCTTAATGGCATTGGTTCTTCGCCGAGCTGCTTTTTCCCTCACCGATTGCCCAATGTATAGTTCATTGTATGATTTGTAAAAAATTGATTGGTTGGTTCTCTACATTTGATTATATGGTACTCTCAGATTACATAACCAGCTCTACGGCTTGACCAAGCCGTATAATATTTTGTACTTAATTCTGTCATGTGGATCCTACCTCGTGTACGAGAATCTGCTTTCATTGCATTGAAAAAGACGATCTATTTTAAAATAATAATAATAATAATGTTGCATAGCACCAGTGATGTTAGAGCATCGATCTAGGTTGTCATACTTGATAGGTATAATTAAATGAATTATGTGTCCTTAAATTTAAATGAATTCATCATTTAACGTCGTTTAATTATAAATTAGGTGAGTTTTTGACACTAATGAGGCTGAATGACCTTACTCATTTTGACAAGGACATTGATTCTAGAAGCGGCTGAATAACCTCGACCCGTGTGTGGGCGGTGGTGGCGCGCGTTTTGTGGGCTTTGATCCAAACCCACCAATCTACAAATCGCAAGTTTCCAACTTGAGATATTCAAAGTGAACGTTTAGCATGTAATTTTCCAACCAACTTCCATCTTCAACTATTCCAAGTTCAAGCAGTTCACTTTGACTTTAATTCTTCACATGCGAAATTATTTTTGAAAAACTAAATGTACTAAGTTAATCACTCGTGGAGTAGAACATATTTTGCCAAAGAACTCTCATATCTAACTCATGAATCCCGCTTAAATAATTGGTAAAAACCAACTTACATAACCCAATTTCCAACAATATCTACTTAGCATTTCTAGTAATATTCATATTCCAGACATTTCCTGTGGATTTTTGAAAAATAACGAACTCTCTTCTTTTTAATGAAGTACATTTCAATGACAATTCCACTAGTGACTTTTCTGGCTTTACACTATGCCAAAGTTTAAAAGTACCTTTTTTCAGCTTAGCAAAAGAATGCTCCAAGTGGTGTTACATGTATGCTGACAATTTGTATGATCATTAGAGAGGAGTTACATGTATAAAGAAAAAGAAGTTCAGAAAACCAGAAGAAACGAAGTAGGAGCAACATGCACACAACGTGCCACAGCCACTCGTCCGCTGTATGTGAATTTGTACTTGGATCAAAAGTTAGAATCAATAAGAACAATAGGAGAATGCAATACATACTATCAAACTTTAATTTTATTAAATTAAATAAGCTCTCAAATCTCAACCTAAGTATGTTTTGAAAGAACAAGATCATGTATTTCAAAAACTATGCTATGAATATAAAAACATTCCTATTTCCATTTATAAGGGGGTTTCTGTACAAATCAATTGAAGCTTGATATTTTCATGAATACAATGATGAAACCTAGCATGCCCAGTGCTTTTACCAAGAGGTTAAGATGGTAAAAGTGAAGTAGTACCAAACATGAACTCCAGATTGACTTCACAAACATGAACTCCAGATTGACTTCAAGAATGAGATTGTATGCTTCTGGTAGTTATAAGTCCTATCTTGAACGCATCAATTCTTCACTTTTAATCAGTTCAGCTGTCATTTCTACAAGTTCTTGACCAAATTTAGCAATTTCCAACCCTTGTTGGCTGATCATGCACAAACAAAAACAATAAATGGAGTAAATAACGATTGTTGATAAGAGATCAGCAACAGGATAATGTCATTATTTTTTTTATAAAAAAAAAAATCAGTTAGCTGTGCTGAATGCAGGACGATACTTACATTTCCATTCTCATTCATAACCCTTTTTGACGTGTATAGACGAACTTTGTTACAGGAGGGATTCCTCTGACCATTGAATCATCAGACTTAATATTTTTCTCAGGGCCCTCTTGCTCCATTTTAAACGCAAACTCAAGCTGCTTCTCGACAGACTTAAGAACAGAAGTCCTTTTGGATCTTAACCGATATGGAGGAGATAAATTATGGGACTTGCCATTACATAATCCAATGTAAACTTCACCCGAAAGATCTCTATGCAAACTCTTCTCTTGTGACTCCATATTCTCTGGACTCTTCATTTGATTATACTCACTGGTAGATTGACATGTTTCCTCGACTGCTTCACTATCTACCCGGCAATTTTTACTTGTAGGCGCAGATAACTGACTTCCAGACTTTCTTCTTCGCAATATGGATGGAGTATTAGGAAAGCTTTTGGCAGCAATTTTCAATAAAGATTCCGGAGTTTGTGCAAACAAATAACCTCCTTTCATGCTAGGTGGAGTGAAGAAAGTCACGGGAGACATTATTGGACTAATGTCTGATTCAGAGTGCATTCGAGAAATATTTGGAAGATTAGAATCCATTTGTGGTGGCTCATAATATAGTGTCCCGTATAAGGGAATATTATCATGCAATGAGGTTTCAGTTATTCTGTATTGATCAGCTACACGATGTGTTCCACATCTCTCAAAATCGCATTCTATACTTGAATGGATGGGATTTACTTCTGATGGCATTGACTCAAATGTAGCACCTTCAAGATCAGCAGACTCATTCCGGGGGTCACTAGCTGATCCAGCTATATTATGAACTTCATTAGCAGTTTCCAGATTATCCTTCCCATCTTCAATTTTACGTGTATCTACAGCTCCTGATGAAACTAAGGTGGTTGAATCTGGTCCTTTATTTGCACAAACAATATCCTCTTCAATTGAAACCATTCTATTCACAACTCTGCTGCCATTTTGGGGAACATTCTTAGCAACAGGTGGAAGGTTCCCAGTAGCCAAATAGAAATCTAACTTCTTCTTCAAAGAACTATTCCAGTGATTCTTGATTGCATTGTCAGTCCTGCACAGATTAAAGCCCATTACAAACAAGCATTGCCCATAGCAATATTCTGTCTGCAAGAAACAAGATAGCGTAACCCTTATTTCATTAAATGTCGAGCAATCATATCCCTTTCCATGAAATATAAGATAAACAAAAATATTTCTTTACTCCTATACAAGAAATGGTCAACCTGAAAGCTGCTTTGGATGTAATGGAGGAGAAAGCTGAAGAACAAATAAAAGTTCATCTCAAGCAAGTTTTATTCCATCCAACTACTTCATTAATGATCTCGAAATTTTAAATTACTTCAATCACATACGCAGAAGAAAAGAAATAGGAAAAGGCATTCTTAAGGCTATTTGGACAGAAACAACTTCAGTGCGAAAACCACTTCCTAAGAATAAGATTCAGGAAGTTTGTGTTCAATTTACGACATTCAGAATCTTCACTTACATCCACAAACCTACATGTTATGGAGACAAAATTCACTTATCTGCTTCCAACAGCAGCACCGTAGTCCAAAATGAAGAAAGTTCGATTATTTTCACATTGGGAACTTCATTAAGATGTAGCTAAAGCAAATAACACTTTGAAAAGAAAGTGTGTGTATACATATCCATCCCCTTTCTGAAAGCTTAAACTTTTATATTATGTGATTCAACATGGTACAAGATACCCATTTATGAAAATTGTGTACATGTAAGGAAAAACAATTATACCAAACTGGTCCACCACTCTACAATACCATATTTCTGTGTAAGTGGGCCATCCAAAAGCCAATGCAATGAATGCAACAAACTAGTAAGCAAATCAAAAGTCAAAAGCATCAAAATGGTGGCAACTTAGAATTGACTTAAAAACATTTCCACCTGGGTAAAATATGTTGAAAATGCTTCTTTATGGCATAACATCAATTCATGGAAAAATGAAAGGATGTTCAGGAACATCAATGGAAGGTACAATAGTTTTAAGTTTCAATCTTAACTCATCAGTAAAGAGAACCTGCGGCACAGGCATGGAGCTTGAGATGAATGCCGAACTTATGTGAAAAAAAATCTCTAAAATAATTAAAATGGGGATGTTATTATGAATATACATAAAACATCAACTTATCTTATACACAAAATATGGTGCAAATAAAGATTTAGTATCACGAAAGTAAAAAATAAATAAATGAAGGCTTGAATGAGACAAACGCTTACTAAATAACTTGGAAATTACAATAAATCAATATCAGAATTCATGAAATTAAAAGGCAAAATGTAAGTCTTTTTATCCTTTGGAGGGAGAGGAGGGGTCTCCACCCCAGGCCTCCATGGCTCCATCCATGCCTTTTAAGGCCTTTTCTTCCTCATTTTGGATTTATATATCTATCTACAGAAAGAAACTAATCTTGTATGCTAAAATTAGATATAAATAATAAAGGTTATTTCATTCTGAATTTTTAACCGAGTAGGTGACCATGAAATTAGATGAAGATTTAAGGTTAGTAGTTCCCAGATGAAAGCTGTAATGCACTCTTCCACAATCCAGGTGCGAGTTTCGTTATGTGGCCCAATAAAACAGAACTTAATTTCCTCCTACATAAAACTTTATGCATGTATAACAGTACCTTCCAGGTAGTAGCTTTGCTAATTCAGCCCATTTATTCCCATGAGTCCTATGAGCACCTAGTAGAGTAAGTTCTTCTTCCAAAGTCCAAGCATCCTTCTTAATATTTGGATTCAAATGATTGTGCCACCTGAAATTTGTTAGAAAACATTTTCAACTTCAAGAACAAACAAATCAAAATAAATAAAGATAAATAAAAAGAATTTCAGAAAATCACTGTCCTATAAATTACACGAAAAGAAAAAAGTAATGTTTACTGCATAGCAGCAAATTTTTAGAAGCTTTGTCTGCATATACATATTAATAGGTAAATGCATATGTATCATGTTGAGAAACAAAGCAATAGCATCAAAAGATGGGGGCGCTGAAACATCTGTACTAGTACGAATTTCAAAATCTATTGTTGCAGTCAGAACCCATGTGTGGGGTCAACTGGCCATACTGTTCTATACTATTTTTGTACACAAATGTGTGCCAGTGATTGGCCCAAAAAAGGCCCTCCAATCAATAAAATAAATGCACTTGTCAAGAAAATAAGCAAAATTATGGCAATTGATCGATCTGTCATAAATCAATTGGCACTACTGAATGTTATAATAATAGTGGTTATATTTTATTTACTTTACCTCTCACGGCATTGTTTCCCAATTCGACCTGGTAATGACTTCGCTATAATAGACCATTTTGTTGGTCCATATTTAGCTACCAGTTCCACAATTTTCTCATCCTCCTGTAAATAAAGAAAGCAATATGAATTTGAAATCACCAACACAAAAAGTCAACACAACAAAGCATTTCAATGTCAACCTCTGGAGTCCATGGACCTTTAACAAGTTCTGGATTGAGAACCTTTTGCCATCTATGCAAGCACTGTACTTCTGACCTATCTGGAAAGAATTCGGCTGCATAAATCTGAACGTTAATACAGGGTACATTCTTAGAGCATGACTTAAAAGGGAGTTGAAGTGTATCAAGATGGAATGAAAATGTTTCTGACCATGGATGAATTCTGGAAATATATACTATAGGTACAACAACAATATATTTTGACTCTTGAGACAAAATTTTGGAAGAACTCCAATTGAATAAACCATACATTTTGAAACTTAAGAATGCAGAATGTTAAAGATGTTCCAAATTAGGCAAATAGGAGGTGTAACTCCAATGTCACAAATTTCCTGTTCTTTATAAGGTTGTTCCATTCATCAATATTGTATGGAATATAACATAATCAAACAACTGACTAAAACCAGATGTCAATAATTTCTGAGATGGCGTAGTCTATCACAGAGACAACAACAATAAGAACAAACAAGCCTTATTCCTGAAAAATGTGGGTTCAACTACATGAATCCTCCTTGGCCAATCCATTCTATTTGTGCTATCACAGTACAGCATCTGTTGAACTAAAACGCAAACCTAGACATACTTGTATCGAACAATTTACTTATGACTTCCTTAAACACCTACTGTAAGTGCCTCAATAAGTAATTTCCTTGAACAACAGACGATGTAAAATATAGAAAAGTAGTATTACAAGATTGTAAAATCAATACGAAATTCCACATCCAATTCACATGCAAGAGGTCATTGATTACAAACTATATCATGGATAAAAGAAGCAGATTAATAAATTGTACCTATTTTCTTCCAAGATTTCCCTCTGTAAGCTGCAACAGCCCTTTTTAAGGTATCATCCTACAGAAGATAATCAAGAGTTTCGTTAACCATGAGCAGAACAACATGGAAGTGATAGTTTTGGGGCAAAACAGATATAGACATATTTCACTAGCGAGCCCCCCTCGCCTTCCAACCCCCAACAAGCACATATACGACTTGGAAAAAGGGCAGAGAATAAAGAAAATGTGATAATGAATAAGAAAACAGAAAAATTTTAATTGAGTTTCTCACATGTGTAAGTAAGACTCAAGCGACAAATAAAATTAACCAAAACAAAGACATTATCAAGTTAAAGTTGTGTACTTGTTATAAAAACAAGCATTGAACTCGTTTGTCATCAGTATGAAACTAAAATAATTGCCGCCCAAAATTCATTGGTATCTGCACAATAAATACACATCTCTGTAGAAAACTTATTACCTCCTCTGGAGTCCAACCTCCCTTTGCTCTTCTAATTGGGCCAGTAGTTCTCCTATAAACCATATATACGTCAATGAATTTCAAATCATCAGGCCATGGCTTAAAAGTCATAAGAATTGTACAAAGCAAGCAGCGGTTGTCTAATGTGTATCTAGTATATGAAGTCTATAAATGCTACATCAAAAGGTACAGGAAAAATACGTAAAGGTGTGAACTGTTATGTTAAACTGAACAAAACCTGTGTATACACGTGTCAAAATTTCTTAGTAAGAAGATCAATTAGCATGCAAAATATCTAGAAATCTATTTCAGATGAAAGTGAGGTCATATCTCGAGAGCGAAAGAGTGAGCCAAATGAAGAAAGCAAGCACAGTTCACAGGTAATAATGGCATCTTACCATTGCGAGCATCCTGTCCAATAATATTTTCTAAATCATTCATTTACATGAGAAAACATTCCTACTATGCTTCTATTGGGTTAAATTAACAATAAATAAATATATTTCAGATACTCCTATACAAATGCCAGTTTCAAGAATGTTCACAAACATTAATACAAAACATAATGAAGAAACACAACAATCATATGACACAGTTCGAATGTGGTGCAACCTTTGATATGCAATAACCATTAAAGTACTGGATAAAGCAATAGATCACAAAGAAAAGTACATTCATTCAGCATAGAAGAGATTATACAGTCAAACCAAACAGTGAACTTCCTTACATGAACAGAAACTAAAACTGAAAAACGAATTGAATCCTATTTCACAAGATACAGAAACAAATATTTCATTCAAAATGAGCATAGTTATCAAGTCATTAAAACGTTACCTATGAGATGGAGATACATTTGTGGGACTACTTATACCAGGTGACTTAAGTGCAACGCTGCCACTATTCTCGGAAACAGAAGAGCTCGAAGCAGCTGTTGATTGCTTGTTATCAGGACAGACCTCTTCTGGTTTCACTTCTGCCATTTAATCCCTCAAACTGATCACACCTCCAAATCCCAGACTTCCTAGACTGAAAATTCACCAATCCAATAAATAAATATCAAATTTCAATTGCCTCTACGTGTAAAACAAAACCCTCTGACCGTATTCAGTCAAAACCAAAAAAAAAAAAAAACCAATCTTGACTAAATATTGTTAGCACCAATGATAAGATCAAGTTAACCCCAGATCTCATAAACAAGTACTACTAATAATAATCAAAAAAATCCCGAGAAAAAATAATTATAGTTCATCAATAGCTAGTTAAACGGAAAAAATAAGTACTTAACTTGATCAAAAACAAAGTTAAATAATTGAAGCATAAAATTAGGAAAAAAATTGAAATTCAAAATTCTTAAAAAAAATAATAATAACGGCAACTGACCTAGTGGATTAAAACTCGAGCTCACGGATTCTAGAGCCCGAAGAAACACAAAATCTCACTTGTTAGAGAGAGACAATTATGCGTTTCATATCGCGAAAAGACCACGTCCGTTGGATGTTGAAGAAAAGAAAAAGGAAATATCTATATATATATTTTTTTTTTTTTTAATTATTATTATTATTATTTTGTCTACAACGAATACTTGTTAGGGCGTCAGTGACGGTGCCGTTTATAGGCCGTCGAGATTTGTGTGAGCAAACAGAAAGGGTAATTTAACGGCGGCTGACGTCTGCACGTGACCGTTATAAACAAGAGTTTGAACATCAAACGGCATATTAATTACTATAGACATTGGTTAACCGCCGAATGCTTTAATGGGTCGGATCTTTCCCGGGTAATTGTGGACCGTCGATTGGGCGATCTGATATTATTGGATAGTAGTTTGATTGATACGATGAAATGGAACGAAATTTTAGAAGTTTTTGTAATTTTATATGCAGTGCTATTTATAGCGAATACTATCATCTCACGTGGTAACATACATGTAATAATTTGTTATTTAATGTATGAGGTAATAAAAAATTATCGCATTAATGTGTATCAAATAATAATTGACATATGTATATAACGTATGACGATTGCTGGTAGTCTTCACTATAAATAGCATTATTCTTTCATTTGCTGATGTCTTTTTTTAACAATATTTTGAAATACGTAAAATATGATTAGACAATAAGTAAAGTTTTGTGCTTAGGCTAAGTTCACAATCTTCTTAGAAGATGTAACAGATACTTGGAACGTGTTTTAAGACTAATAGTTGTGTTTTTAATCTCGTTTGTTTCTCATTCTTTCAAAATTATTTTTTCTATATATTTATTTTCAACCACACATTTACACAATAAATATTTTGTTAACCCAAAAAAAAATTCTTATTTTTATAACCACGCATTTTTCAAAAATTCACTATTCAAAATAATGTTTTGCAACAAAAGAAATAAAATAAAAAGACCACCAAACAAGGGCTAAGTTACATGTAACTAAAAATGTAGGTCATATAAATAAGTTTTTATTTGATGAAACTTAGCTCATGTTTAACAACCAATATTTGTGAAAAATTGAGTTTTGAATAATAATTTTTATGAAAATGTGTGATTAAAAAGTAGAAAATAATTTTGGGTTTACTTATAGAATATTTTATTGTGTGAATGTATTGCAAAAATTGAATATGTGAAAAAAAGTTTAAAAATAATGATTGTCAAACATGAGCTAAAAATATCAAGTCAATTATTTGATAAAAAGGTAATAGTTACTTTTCAAAAAAGTTTGGAAGTACTTAAAGCCTTTTTCTCATCAAGTTGGTATATTTAACCCAATCAGGTACATATTTGCATTATCCTTTACACTTTGTCATGTGGCAACACACCATTGAACAATTTAAAAAATAAATAATTTTTCATTCAATCCCTTTTGAATAACACGTCAAACGTCAAAAAGAATGTACACTTGGAGTGTACATCTAGCATTTTTTTATTTAACCTTTCATTGACTAACCATTTTTTCTTAATCACGATTTTTGTCCAAAAATATTGTTACCATACTTTAAAATAGGGCTGCACAAAAAAATCGCGAAACCGCAAACCGAACCGAAACCATTGGTTTGGGTCCACGTGGACCAGCGATTTTTTTTTTCCCTCCAATCGAACCAAACCGTTTCAAAATGGTTTAGTTTAGGTTTCGATTTTCAAAAACCGCACAAAACCGAACCGAACAGCACTTTTTTTAATTAAAAAACATTTTATTAAATTATAAATTCTCATATATATTTTATCAAAATTTTGGATTTATTTTTTATCTAATAGTTTACACTTTAGTAACCTAAGAGCAGCCCACAGCTTAAAGTCCAAATCCAATTGAAATATATCAATACCATATTCCATATATCCATATTCCATTAACCCAACCCAACTTTGAAACGTGTGACCTAATAATATTCCCAACTTTCCAAACGGCGCGTGTCGTCTCTCACTCTCTCCTCAATCTCCTTTGTTTCCAGTTTTCCTCTACCTCAGTCACATATTCTCAAATGCCAATGCTAATTTATTGAACAAGGTAATGAGCCTGTATGGTACAGATTCTCATTTTCTACAGTAAATCAATTCTCATTTTCAACCATACATTCTTCAATAAAATAATATTTTCCATCACATCAATA